AGTTACAGTGTTGCCCCCCTCGAGGGTCACAGGTTCAATTCTGGGTCAAGGGCATGTACCTGGATTGCAGGTTCTATCCCTGGCCCTGGTCAGGGCATATGTGCGAGGCAACCAATCAATGTTTTTCTCTCACATTGATGTTTCTCTCTCTCTCTCACCTCCCTCCCTCCTTTCCACTCTCTAAAAATCAGTGGGGGAGAGGGGAATAAGTGGCACTTGGAATTACACTCTCCCAAAGAGAGTGGTATGAGTAGTGAGAGTTTTAAGTAAAAATCACTTTTTGCCTCTCAACATGATTTAATTCTGTTTATCTTCTTTCCTAAATATCATTTGTGAAAAACAAGATTGGATTTAAATACAGTGCAGAGTGCCCATGGTTACTAACAGAAGAAAGCCCTTTCTCTGATTAAAACAAGTGACTTTTCTGACACGGCTTCAGCTGAGGGGCTGAGAGATGGCAGAAGTGGCTGCTCTGCCTTCTGTTTCTAGAAAGATTAGCTTTTCCTGGGACTAAAGGAAGCCAAGGCCAATTCTGAAAGGGGGAAGTTTTCCTTGTTGTTAATTAGGACTCAGGTGACTTTACCAGTGACATGATGAGCTTGGTCCTTGCTTTTACCATTGGGAAGATTTGAGCTGTACCTTCCACTACCTTCTTCTTCCCATATCCTGGTGCCCAGGTGAGGATAGTTGGTTTCGTCACAAACCAGACGGCCAGAAGGATAGCATTATTATCCTTTGCCTCTGCAAAACCAAAATAGCTGGTATTTCTTGCTGGTGGTTAGGCAGAAAGTGTCCTAACTCTGTCACAGTGGGGCCCTTTGCTATCTTAGAATGTCCTGTTGGAATTCCAAACAGATAAAGCTGAGCCCAGAGCTGGTCACAGTATAAACCAATCCTGTTTTCTATTGCCAGGCTTTGCCCGACCTATTTTATATCATACACAATAGTACTCCCTTATTATGATTTGCCTTCCACAGTTTGTTATCCAGTCAACTTCGGTCCTTAAATATTAAATGGAAAAATTCCAGAAGTAAGTAATTTAATAGACAATTCATAACTTTAAATTGTGTGCTGTTCTGAGTATGATGAAATCCCTCTCTGTCTGCTCTATCTCTTTGTCCAGGGGGTCTGTGCTGAAGTCCCTGTCTGCCCCTTGGTCACTTAAGTGGTCATCTAGGTTATCAGATTGGTATCATAGTGCATGTGTTCAAATAACCCTTATTTCACTTTGCAATGGCCCAAAGCCCAAAGTAGTGATGCTGGCAATTTGGATATGCCAAAGAGAAGCCGAAAAGTGCTTCCTTTAAATGAAAAGGTGAGCACAGTCAATAAGATATTTTGAGGGAGAGACAGATCACATATAATTTTTATTGCAGTATATTGTTATAATTGTCCTATTTTATGATTAGTTTTGTTGTTAATCTTTTATTGTGCCTAATTTATGAATTAAACTTTGTCATAGGTAGGTTTGTATAGGAAAAAACAGTATACATAGGGTTTGGTAGTATCTGTGGTTTCAGGCATCCAGTGAGGGTCTTGGAACATATCCCCCTTGGATAAGGGAGGACTACTGTCGTCCAGATTTGTTCTCTTCCGCTTCCTTACCTGGAATGTCTTTTCCTTCCTCTCTTTAGTTTGAGTCCAATCCTTTTTTCCAATGTGCTTCTCAAGTTTTATCTGCTTAGTAGACAGTTCCAAATTTCCAATCCCAGCCTTAAGGGATTACCCTTTTCTCTGGAACTTTGTCTCACTTGTGCTCTGTATTTCATTCATTCATTCATTCATTCATTCATTCATTCATTCTCTTCTCCCTGTCAGGGATGTTGTTCTCCCAGCTCTTGTCATGAGTGGCTTCTTCTCATTCTTTAATTCTCAACTGAAATGCCATTCTACAAAGAGACCTGCCCTCAGTACCCATTCTAAAGTAAGAGCCTTTTCTATATATCCAGAGATTGTCTGGTCTCCAGCACCTAGCCTGCTAGCTGGCACATAGTAAATAGTTATCAAATGAATTAACAAAGGAATTAATTTCTTAATTTAATGTATAATTTCAATTTCAGCTTAAGAACAAAAACATTGATAGCTCTTAGAACTGAGACATATCTAAAGACAGGAGAGATTAGATTTATGTCTGTTTCTTTAAGGCACTGAGAAATTTTCTGGACAATAACTCATTCTAGGGGATGAAATACTATGTGAAACTCCAATGTATGTTTCAAGTATAGTGGTTTAAGATGAAAAAACAACAACACACGAACAATTCTGTGTTTTGCACATATTCTCTGTGCTGTTCCCCTAGTTTATCTTCAAATGATATTTAATGCACATTGGAATATGTTGTGATAGATGGATGTAATTTAAATAGGAAGATACTAAACATTTTACCCTAGTTATTTCAATATAAAAAGTCATTATGTATTTTAATATAGAAAACTAGGGGCCCAGTGCACGAATTTGTGCACCTTGAAAAGAACTGTGGGCTGTGAGGCTGCAGTGGGCACAGGGGCAGGTCTCAGCCGGCCCTTCCCGCTGCAGCCCCCCAGTCCCTTGTCTGCTGGCAGCCCCGCTTCCACCTGCTGATGGTGCTGGCCCCAATCACTCCATGCCGTCACCAGGTGTGAGCACTGGGCAGGACCATGGTGTGCAGGAGCAAAGACTTTTCAGTAACCACCAGAGGCTTGCCCTGGTGACAGTGACCGGTGCCCCGCCTTAGTCTGGCGCCCCCACTCCGCTCACCTGCTCTACCATCCTGCCACGGCCGACGTCCGCCATGTTCCATGCGTGCCCCCTGGTGGTCAGTGCACGTCATAGCGTTTTGTATATATAGATATGTATTATTTTAAAGTTGTTTTAAAATACTCTAGATTTTTAAAGTTGAAGCTAAGAAAATTTCAATAATATTTTTATTGCTGAGTAATATCTGATTATCCTATATAATAAAAGGGTAATATGCAAATTGACCCTAACATTAGAATGACCAGAACGACCACTGGATCAGTCACTATGAGGCACATTTATCACCTCTCCGTCCCTTTCCCCAGCTGGCAGGCTCCAATTACCTGATGTCTAATAGGGAACTAGGGGTGGATGGCGGGGAACGCGGGCAGTGCCAGGCCAAGGCCCCTGCCTCACCGGTCGCCCCACACACAGAGGGTGACCCGCGGTGGGGGTGGGACCTGCGAGTGGGCAGGAACAGCCAACCTCTCCGTCCCTTCCCCTGGCCATCAGGCACCGATCACCCGATGGTGAATGGGGAACTGGGGGTGGGTGGCAGCAGGGGGCAGGGACGGCTATGGGAAGCCAGGGAAGATGGTCCTGATTGCAGGCCAGGCCTACGGACCATAGCCACGCACGAATTTCGTGCACTGGGCCTCTAGTATGAATATAAAACAGTTTGTATATCTATTTTCCTATTGAACATCTGGCCTGTTTCTAGTTTGTGGCTGTAATGAATAAAGCTGTTGTGAATATTCTCATAGAAGTCTTTTGTAAATTTAAGATTTCATTTCTTTGGGATAGATAGCTAGGAGTGAGATTACTATTCCATATGGTAAGTATATTAAAGAATACACTTTTTGTGCCATTTCACATTCAACTGGTAACAGAGTTTTGATTGGATGTCTCCATGTTCCCTCATGTTTAGGACAGGTAACAAGCAATGAAGGGTCATATAATACTTCATTCCTTTGAAATAGCCACCCCATTCTGCTCATAGAACATTTTGAGAACCTGGGTAAATTTAACTATAGAAAGGGTATGAGATGAAATTAAGGAGCTATTTTTATTTTATTGGAGTAATAATACCATTTTATTTAGATAGAAGAATGTCCTTATTTATATTTTTAGAGTATTTTGGCTTTAAGTGTCATAATGTGTGATACTTTGAAACAGATCAACCACAATAAAAAACAACGTAGATTGATAAACCAAGGGCACTAGAAAGGAAGAGGGCATACACCATTTGTCTGCATGAGAGTTTTACTTTGGGACCTGAATTATTCAGGAGAATAACTTTAAAATATTGTTGTTCAATGAATTATTTTTCTTATTTGCGGATACTCCCTCCCAGGTAATTTATAGAGAGAAGTCAAGCTGATCTTAAGGGAGCATCAGAGTTTAATGGCTCTTGAGGAGTGATGGATTTCCTACCCCCTTTTCAAGTTATTTACCCAAATTATGGCCAAATTACCAATCACATGGTAATTCAACTTTAAAAAGGATTTTGTGTTGAATATTTCTAAAGGTTTAAAAAAAGTTTAAATTGTTTTTACTTTTTCTCCTGCTTAAACCAGCAATTCGCTTTCTTCAAATATGTAGATTTACACCCAAGCTGGAAGGAGACACCCAGGACTATTGCTTTTACATCACTGTTTTTCTAAAAAAAAAAAAAAAAAAAAAAAATTATTGATTTTAGAGAGGAAGGGAGAGATAGAGAGATAGAAACATCAATGATGAGAGAGAATCATGGATGGGCTGCCTCCTGCACGCCCCCTACTGGGCATGGAGCCTGCAACCTGGGCATGTGCTCTGACCTCGACCACCTGGTACCTAGGTCAATGCGCAACCATTGAACCACACTGGCCAGGTTCCATCACTGTTTTTTAAATTCCCATTTGGAAAACAGGCATGGAGATTATGGGCAGGCAAGCCATATCCAGACCCTTCTCAACACTGGTGAAGAGCGCGGTACAAAGAAATAAGCAATGTTCTGTGCGTCCATTATATATGCAAGGAATTGCACTCCCTTGTCCATGTCACTTGACTAGGAGACCTGCCAGAGGAGGGAAAGAGATCTGCAAGGTGTGCGGAGGGCGGAGGGCGGTGACTAGCATCCCAGCTGGGGCGGGGCTGTGCTTGCGGACCGCGGGTTTCTGGCGTCCGCGCGGGCCGCCGGGTGGGAGCGCGCGCCCTGTGGCGTCACCGCGGTCTTCAGGGCGGACCAATCAGGAGGCGGCCGGGCGGGGGCGCGGCCGGGCGGGGGCGGGGGCGGGGCCGGCTCCGGCTGCTCCGAGGTCCTCTCGCGCGCGCAGCTGGGTTGGAGCGCGCGGCGTCCGAGCCGTTCGGTTCCCCGCGGGCCATGGAGCGGCTGACGTTGCCTCCGGGCGGCGCGGCGGCCGTGGACGACTACCTAGAGTACCGGAGGTGAGGCGGGCCCTCCGCGGGGCGAGGCGCTCGCCAGCCTGGGTGCGGGATCCGTTCCCGGGCGGGCTGTTGGGGAGGCTTCCATTGATTTCGAGTTGCGTCGTTCTGTAATTAAATATCGCAACGACACGCAGTTCTGTGCTAATAAGTCTCTTCCGAGGCTGCTTACGAGGTCCCCGCTCCGACCCTTCCAGGAGGGATGATTTACGCAAAGGTCCAGTTGTTTCCCCCCGCCAAAGGGCATGGAAGAATTACGCATGGAGTACTCGGGGCCGGTGAAAATGACCAGGCGTTAAGTTTGCATGTTAGTGTAGCAGGCGGGTAAGCCATGAACTTGCAAACGTGCTCCCTGTCCCGGGGTGCTGGTTTCGGGAGGACACCGGCTGCTGGGGGAGTTTCGGTGGTTCTGGAGACAGTCCTCCCCCCAAACTGGAAACGCAGCCGCCCCTGGGGCCCTGACAAAGTCTGTGCTCCCAAGGCAGGGTTTTGGCAGTTGGGAAACTGGGTGAGTGGGAATGTCACGGGCAGGAGGATGCGGGGTTGGAGGGTGGGGGGAATGTGTGTGCATAAACGGGAATCGGCGGAATCACAGCGAGAGGGGCCGCTCTGCTTGAAGGTGGCCGCCCCAAATCATCCAGGGGTGTTGGGGCGCACGGGTTTCCTATCTGACCGCACTCCCTCCGGCTGTCTCGTGGTACAGTGTTGGGTACCGCCTAGAAATGCCTGGTAATTCTGAGCCAGCAAAATGAGGGTGAGGAACGTGATGGACGGGCCAGACCTCATTCTGGGTTCAGGTGGGTCCAGGTAATGCCCAGAGCCCTATGCCCAGAGCAGCTCCCAGGCAGCCCTCCCGCCCTGGCAGAGCCAGCTCCACTAGCCGCCAAGTCTCCAGGTCTTTTCATGGGACCAAGTTGCTGGGCCCTGTGGTTGACTGATGACTTAGGTATTTAGATGTTTAGATAGGCAGATGGTGGGCCTCCCGTTGTAGTCCAGAATATGGTAGGGCCTGGTGGAAAGTTATTTTTTTGGAAACATAAATTACCTGGAACAACCCCCTGTAAAGGTTAAGAGCCTGCTATTCAAAGTGTAACAACCGTGGGCCAGCCGAGTAGGAATCCCCTGGGAGCTTGTTGGAAATGCAGACTCCAGGTCCACTCTGGACCATGAATCTGAATCTGCATTTGACGGAGTCCCTTGAGGATTGTGTAATACAAATAAAGCTTGAGCTGCCCTGGGTTAGAAGTTAAGATATAAATGCTCTCTTTTTTTTTTCCCCAAAGAACTGAATTGATCTTTAAGTTCTTTTCCGTACCTGTTGGTATACTTCTTGGTAGCTAACATAAAGTGAAATGGCTCAAAAAATGATCTCAGAATAAAATGTCCCTTTGTCTTTTTTACTATTGCGTATCTAAATTATTTGAGGAAGGAGGTTGTGATGGTTCCATAGCTTCTGAATTGGTTTTATTTATCTTCCTCAAGCTAAAGACTTGAAAGTATGGGGAAGGGTATGGATTGTACAACAAATTATGTAGCATTCTGCAAACAACATTTTTCATGACTTTTAAGAGGGGCATAAAGTCAAGGGGAAATTTCGTCAATTTTGAGGAAATGCTTTTAATTGTTGTTGCTTTTCCTCTGGAGAGGCCAACTCTCAGTTTCTTAAGAAATTAAGAAATATCGGTGACTTAATTTCTCCCATACAGTTTTGAGGTCTTCTGGAATTGGACAGTGATGCACCTGGTTTTGAGCTTATACAGGTCCAAGGTGTTTGTGGTCTCCCAATGGACTCCTGGCCAGGGTTTGGGCTCAGATGTGGACATTAGTCATGTTGTCTTCTTCACTGAATTTTTTTTGGTACTTTTCTTTTTTTGGGGGGGGGGTGTGTTAGAATTTTTAGTTGTTTAGGCTCCAGCTTTTAATGAGAAGAATGAGCATGGTTGCTTTAGAATCAAAGGAGAAATTGAGATGAATATATGGCAGTTCTCTGGCAGTAAGCTCCCATAAGGAAAGTCAGATGTCATGAATTCATTGACTTTCTTATTTAGAACCTTTTCTTATATGGGAAGCAAAAGCTTTATCACCATTGTGTGTAATTTTGCGATTGACATAAACCTAAAGTAAAAAATCAGTGCCGTATCATTTCCTTTGACTGTACAAGTATAGTTTAATTAGTTAATTATTATTTTTTTGTTAATCCTCACCTGAAGATATTTTTTATATTTTATTTTATTTTTTTTAGTAGTTAACATTGTCCAAATCAAATTATTACCAACAAGCTAAAATACTTCAAAAAGGCTTCTGAAGGGCATATGGACATCTTAGTTTCAGGTTTTTGCTTTAATTAAAAAGGAAAGTCTTCTCTCAGGCCCTACACTTCATGTTATTTTAAGAAGTCCTTCCATGTCAAGCTTCAACTAATCCTTTAAGGCACATTTTATATCTCAGAATTATCGAACTATAGCTAATTACTGCCAGTCATCTATTTGGTGCTAAACCTGAGCAAGAACTTATTAACATCTATGTACCTTGACCTGCTTGTTTCTAATATTTCAACTCAGAACAGTGATAAATTTGAAAATAAGCATGATTTGAAAATCTTCCATGACTAAAGTTCCAAGGAAGAAGAACATTGCAAGATGCAAAGACATCCCAAGAAACCAGAAACACCAACCAGAAAGGATATATGCATCCCTATGTTCACAGCAGCACAATTTACCATAGCGAAGATCTGGAAACAGCCTAAGTGCCCATCAGCAGATGAATGGACTAGAAAACTGTGGTACATCTACACAATGGAATACTGCCGGGGTCCAACCCCAGCAGGTCCAGGGGTCCCCAAAGGTGTGGACGGAGTCGGCGAAGAAGGAATGACACGGAGCCAGCGTTCAGTTGATCAGCAGCCTAGCCAGGATCTCTAGCCAGGATCTCCAGCCAAGTTCTGGTCTGGATCTCCAGCGAAGTTCTGGTTAGGATCTCCAGCCAGGTTCAGTGTCCATGTTCTCTTGCTAGGTTCTCCAGCCAGGTTCCCCAGGTTCCCCAGCCAGGTTTGGTCACCAGATTCTGTAGCCAGGTTCTTCAGCCAGATTCTGGCTAGGTTCTCCAGGTTCTCCAGCCAGGTTCTGTGTCCATGTTCTCTTGCTAGGTTCTCCAGCCAGGTTCCCCAGCCAGGTTCGGTCACCAGATTCTGTAGCCAGGTTCTTCAGCCAGATTCTGGCTAGGTTCTCCAGGTTCTCCAGCCAGGTTCTGTGTCCATGTTCTCTTGCTAGGTTCTCCAGCCAGGTTCTGTAGCCATGTTCCCTCACTAGGTTCTCCAGCCAGGTTCTGTCCAGGTTCTCCAGCCAGGTTCAGTCACCAGGTTCTAGTCAGGTTCTCTTGCCATGTTCTATCCAGGTTCTGTAGCCAGGTTCTGTCTCTAGGTTCTTCAGCCAGGTTCTCTCGCTAGGTTCTGTCTCTAGGTTCTGTTGCCAGTTTCTGTCCAGGATCTTTTGCCATGTTCTCTCCAGCGAAGTTCTTCTGTCTCTAGGTTCTGTGTAGGTTCTGTCTTCTAAGTTCTGTCTTCTAAGTTCTGTCTTGTTTTTTTAAAAAAATATATTTTATTGATTTTTTACAGAGAGGAAGGGAGAGAGATAGAGAGTTAGAAACATCGATGGGAGAGAAACATCGATCAGCCGCCTCCTGCACATCTCCTACTGGGGATGTGCCCGCAACCCAGGTACATGCCCTTGACCGGAATCGAACCTGGGACCTTTCAGTCCGCAGGCCGATGCTCTATCCACTGAGCCAAACCGGTTTCGGCAATATATTGGTTTTTAGAGAGAGTGGAAGAGAAGGGTAGAGACAGAGACAGAGAGAAACATCGATGTGAGGGAGACACATCTATTGGTTGCCTCCTACACTCACCCCAGGGATGGGGCCTGCAACCCAGGTACGCACCCTTGACTGGAATCGAACCCTGGACCCTTCAGTTCCAGGGTGAACCCTCTAACCACTGGGCAAAACCGGTCAGGGCTAGTTTAATTTTAGAGTATAGTATTTATAACCTGGAAAATAAATAATCAAGGCTGAAGAGAACTATTTTGTTGTTGTAGAATTGTGGGTGAGGATGATGGAGGGAAACTTTTTACTCCTGAAGAGTATGAAGAATACAAAAGAAGAGTTTTACCTATGCGCTTACAGAATAGATTGTTCGTGAGCTGGCGATCCCCAACTGGAATGGATTGTAAACTTGTGGGCCCAGAGACACTGTGTTTTTGTACACACAGGTAAGATATTTTATCGCTAAGTTCTCTGGTGATTAGAAAATATAAAACTAGCAGAGCATATCTTCCTTCTATAAGTAACATTACATGTGATAATGGAGAAACATTTAAATAGGCCTTTGTGTTATACACTAGAAATTATCTAAATTTCTTTTAAATGTGATTTAAAAATTCTATTTTATCCTATTAGAAGTCAGTACAGTCCATTACCTTAAGTATCTCTTCTCTTGCCTTTGGTGAAAGCGGTATTGATGCCCCCATGGCTTTGTCAGGGGCCTCTCACTTAGGCTGGGGAGCACCGCTGCCTCTCCCACCTCTGGACAAGGTGGCTGAGGACGAGTCCTCAGACTGCAGAACCGCTGGAGTTGACCCACATGGACCAGCTTCTCAATCTACACAAAGAAACAGTTCTCTTCCAATTTTCTAATCTCACTGTATACTTTAAGAAACACTGTTTTGTTCCTACCTTTCTTTAAACAAACAGAAATACTGAGCTCACAGCTTTTTATTATGCTTGGTCCGTTTCCAAGCAACGCGCACGGAGCAAAGGAAATACCTGAGGGCCCGCGCCTTGAGGCGTGTTGCCTGTACCTGCGGTGTGCATTTGGCTGTTTGTCGTGTTTTCCTTTACATTTTTCTACTGTCCCAGGTCACAGTTGTGAAGCTCAAAAGGACCAAGCTGCTTCACGGAGACAAGTCACTGAACCCTGATGTGCTTTTAGGTAACAACTCGAACTTTCTGTTCCCAAGCAGCGGTGGAAGGAGGACCGCCCTGTTCTGATAGCGTCTGGGCCTCTTTCAGGAGACACTCTGTGTAGTTGCTATTTACAGACTCGCAGTTTGCCAGAGGTTGTTAGGCAGTTGCTAGGATGAGTAATGTTGTATATAGATTGATTTGAAATTTAGTTAGCAACTCCCACTGAAAATGCTGTGGAGGAAAGGAAAAGGTGAGTTACATTGATCTCTTTCAGAATGGATACATTTGTGTTAGTTTTAATTTTTAGTCTTATACAGATTTACTGCCTGTCTCTTACCTATGCAGCATGACATTAACCTTCAAAATGGACCCAATTCAACTTTAAAAAAAATACATATTTTTAATGATTTCAGAGAGAGAGAGAGAGAGAGAGAGAGAGAGAGAGAGAGAGAGAGAGAGAAACATCAATGATGGGAGAGAATTGTTGATTGGCTGCCTCCTACACAGCCCCTACTGGGGATGGTTCCCACAACCCAGGCATGTGCCCTGACCGGAAATCAAACCATGACCTCCTGGTACATAGGTTGATGTTCAACCACTGAGCCATGCGGGTAGGGCACCCAACTCAACTTTGATGGAAAAGTTCTTAAGTACCAGAACTCAGATCTCTGTCTACATAAGCCCCCCGCCCCCCCCCCCCCATAATAAAAGTGAAACATGTTTATTACGGAAAATGTAGAGGATTATATAGAACAGTAGAAAGAAGACTCACCACTTAAAACCAGCTGCTGTTAATATATTTTATTATATTCATATAATTCATTTACCTAGTTTATTTAATTAATTATGTGTGAGTATAAATATTGAACCAGTTTTTCATGACAGAATCACAGAAATATGTTTTCACATTATGTGGTAATCACAAGCAAGATTTTTAATACCTACTGGCTGTTTGAGCTGGTTCACTATGTGTTCCCCAGAGGTGTGGGTGTCTCAGGGGTGGACCGGGTGGAAGGGTAGGTTAGGGGAAGGGCAGACGCTAATTCTGGCTCTATCCCTTGCTTTAACCAATTCTGCTTTTATCTATTTTATATATTATGGTTCTGTAAAAGATTTTATTTGAAGAAAGAGTTTCACTAGTAAGAAATTTGATAACTATTGTTTTGTAATTTACTTAATCATGCCTTTGTTATTAGTGGTGTGTGTGTGTGTGTGTGTGTGTGTGTATGTGTATGGTTATGTATGTATGGGTGTAGATGTATATATTTGCTATTGTAAGTACTGTTGCTAGTACTATATTTATGCACACACTCTATACGTGGAATTATATTCTTAGGGTATATTTTAAAAAATGAACTCTCTGGGTTAAAGGATGGATCTATTTAAGTTTCTTAAAACATCAAATGGGATTGGTTCCTTTTTTGTTTGTTTTTAATCCTCACTCAAGGATATTTTTCCATTGATTTTTAGAGAGAGTGGAAGAGAGAGGGAAAGACTGAGAGAAACATCGATGTGAGAGAAACACATTGATTGGTTGCTTCCTCCACTGCACTCTGACCAGGGCCCAGGCCAGGGAGGAGCCTGCAACCGAGGTATGTGCCCTTGACCAGAATTGAACCTGGGACCTTTTGGTCCGCAGGCCAACACTCTGTCTACTGAGCCAAACCGGCTATGGTGGACTGTTTCTTTTGTAACACTCTTAGCAGCATTGTAAATTATGTGTAGTTTAAAAAAAGCTTTGGCTCTCTTTGCTAAGTGAAAAATGGCATCTTGTTCTTTTAATTTCTATTACCTAGATTAATATTGAGAATAATAAATTTAATATCATTTTACTGAATACCACCTTATGAGAAGGAAGGGCATAGTCTATTTAAGAAAATTACTTAGTATTTTAACCTATAAAAATAAATTGAAGTAATGCACTTTAATAAAAAGGATTTTTATAAAGAATTTATTTATAAGAGTATGCGTGGCCTCCCATACTCTTAGGTTGTGCTTTCATTTAAAAAAATCTGTAGTGGTATGTACTTTAAGGGAATCACATCTACACTAATAAAAGAGAAAGATGCAAATTGACCATACCTTCGTGACACCCACCAGCCAATCAGGAGCGAGTATGCAAATTAACCCAACAAAGATGGCGGGTAAGTTTGCATACACAGGCACCAAGCCGCCCCAGCTGCTCTGGGCCTCTGAACAGCGTGGGAAGGCAGAAAGGCCACTGTGGCCGGAGCGAAGGCAGTGCTGGCAGCCAGGGAAAGGAAGGCCCATTCTTGCACGAATCTTAGTGCATCGGGCCTCTAATAATATTTATAATATTTCTTGTATATTGCTGTGATTACTAAAAATAAAAATCTAAGAATGAAGGTTTCTCTGATCAAAGTAATATAGCTTCCAGAAATACTGCAAGTAGGGGATTTTATTTTCACCTTACCAAAAAGAATGATGAAACGAAAATAAAATGAAAAAGAATCATTTGCATTTAACAGAATAGAAATAGTGATTTCTGACATTACCTGCACTGTGTTTTTATCCTCCCCCATTTTTTTAGGTACAAACAGCATAAAACTGACTTTGAAACGGTTCCACAGCAGCGCCCCATTAGCTTGCCTTGCCGAGTGACCGGCTGCCAGTGCAGGGCTTACCTTTATGTGCCTTTGAATGGCACGCAGCCCATTCGCTGCAGGTGCAAACACTTTGCTGATCAGCACAGTGCCACGCCTGGCTTTATGTGCAATGCCTGTGAGTGACATTATTACAAATACACCAACAGAATGTTTTTATTGAATATTTAATGTGTCTTTGTGCCAGTTTTATTGTCAGTATGAAACAACTAAAACATTTTGATGGGTAGCTACTCTAAAATTTTATTTTATTTTATTTTAAAATTGCCTCTCGCACACACCCTGACTGAGGATCGAACCTGAAACCTGGGTACATGTCCTGATTGGGAATCGGACCCACAACCTTTTTGGTGTATGGGACGATGCTCAGCTATCCGAGCCATCCGTCCAGGGTCTTCTTTCCTTTTTATGTTTAACAGGATTCTGTTGCATCCTTTCTTTGTCTATGTGTTGGCCTTCCAATATGGCTTTCTTTGGGAGTTGACCCATAGAGAGGCTTTCACATTGTCTCTTCACCTGGACCTGGCCACTGGTTGTCCCCACCACACCTGCTTTTAACTCAGTATTTGAGGAAAGGGCCTGCATTTCCTGGCTCTCCAGTGTTCAGCCCAATTTCTTTTAGTCCTCATTGGTTTTCCCTATTTTTCCCCCAGCTAGTATCCATGACTGCTTTAGAATCTTTTAGAAGTAAGAGCAGTGGCTGGGAGGGAGTTCCAGGTCTGGAGATAGTAGTTACCAGGGTTAGAGGACAGCACATGAGGAATCCAGATTCAGGTGCTTAGGCCAAGCTGAGCATTTTTGGAGCAGGCAGCTCAGTCCCTACATTTAAGAACTTAACTCCCTTTACACCTTGATTCAGGTTCCAAGTGTTCAGGATTCCATAGTTGCTTCACTTGTGCTTGTGGTCAGCCTGCGTATGCCCATGACACAGTAGTGGAAACTAAGCAAGAGAGACTGGCTCAAGGAAAACCAGTGGGACGGGATGCTCCTTACGCGGCGATGGGAGGATTAACCGGCTTCAGCTCACTAGCAGAAGGCTACATGCGGTTAGATGACAGTGGAATTGGTAAGTGATGCATAAGTGTGAGCTTGTTATATTGTTTTTATGTGTGGACAATAGTGAAGCCTTACGTTTGTTTAGCACTTTATATCCTTCATGTTTTTTTCCCCCCAGAAAACATTCTCTTATTTTTATTTTTTTAAAAATGTTTAATTGCCACTACACAATAGATGGTTATTACAGAAAATTTAAAAAGCATAAGAGAAAAGATCATTCTTTTCCCCAATATTTGTACCCAAATCCCAACCCATAACCACATTGTTTGTAATAGCTGAATAATAAATAATATTTCCTTTATTTGATATGATACAGTTTATTATTTTATTGTATGCAATTTTTACCATTATAGCCATCTCATTTTGGAAACATAGGCTTATGTCTATGTGTGAATATGCACATGCATGTATAGGCGTGTAATCACAGATATAATAATGCATGCTCACAGGCATGTATGTGTATGTACAGAACCCGCAACCTTTTGGTATATGAGATGACGCTCCAACCAAGCCACACCGCTCAGGACTAATTGTTATTCTTCATATTATGTTTTGATATTTGGTATGGTAAATTCCTTCCATTTGTTTCTTTATTTTTTCAAGATTGCCCTGATACATTTGTGCTTCTCTTGTAATTAGTTTTACAAGTAGCTTGTTAAATTTCATAAATGAGTCCTTTTTCAATATTTATGGATACCTGATTCTATTAGGTACATGCAATGATTATAGAATACACAGTTACCACCGGCAAAAAATAATCAATTATAATGAGGTTGATGATGACCAGGGGTTGTTCCAACCTCTTTACATCTGTTACCTCATTTAATCCTGCCACGGTCTCTGTTATAGCAAGGGGCAAGGGTTGCCCCAGAGCGGAGCTAGAGGTGGGTCCCCTGAGCTCTCGGGGATTCAGTAGAGGAAGTGGCAGGCATCGAGGGGCCTGCACTCCTAGTGAGAGTAAGAATGAGGCTACCAGGCCCTACCAAGCTGAAAGACTGAATTGCTACTTAGGTCAGCCTCGCCGGTTGAAGTCTGTGTAGTGCACGCAGCAACCAGAGGAAGGCACAAGGGCCTGGCTGGATCTGAGCACCCCTTCCTACACTCCCACCAGCCACAGGATAGAGGAGTGTGGAAGGAGGGGCAGGAATCTGAAAGACTGCTTCGTTATAAGGACAGACTAACTTGTAAAACCAAATAGGACTGAAAGTGTATTTTCTGTCCCTCTACCGCAGGATGGAGATAGGGGTGTGGGGAAGGTGAGGTTTGTGAAGAAGGTAGAGCACTTATGCATACATTCTCTCTGCACTTCCTTCCTCAAAAGTCAATTATTTAGCAGTTGGTCTCTGTAGGTTGCGGTTTTGGGTTGTGATGTTTCCTCATTTAATTGAAGAAGGTTTATTTTTTTTTTTTAATACTGTTTGTAGTTGTTTTTTGAGTGAGGGATAGAGTAAAAATATACTTATTCTTTCCTCTTAAACTAGAGTTTTTTAAATTGCAAATCTTGCTTTTGATAGTGTTTTATAACTATGTTAACATTTTGCACTCTTTGCTGACATTCAGTCACATTTGTGCATATCTATATTTTTTTTCTGTGAAAAGGTCTCTGAGAAATAAAAAAATACTTTTACCCTTCTTCCCTTACTTTATATGGATGGTAAAAATCTAAAACAAAAATTTCCTTTTTATAGAATAGATTTAAAAAATATATATATTTTTATTGATTTCAGAGAGGAAGGGAGAGGGAGAGAGAGATAGAAACAACAATGATGAGGGAGAATCATTGATCAGCTGCCTCCTGCACGCCCCAAACTGGGGATTGAACCTGCAACCTGGGCATGTGCCCTGACTGGGAATCGAACCGTGACCTCCTGGTTCATAGGTTGCTATTCAACCACTGAGCCATGCCAGCCAAGCCAGACTGGATTTTTCTAATGATTCTGATAGGTTCTAATTTATTTTACATTTGAAATAACTTCTTTGAATCATAACAAATAGAGGTTTAGTTTTCATTTTTCATGTACTTTGTTATCAGGTGCACCTTCAGCTGAATTTTTAGACTCTCCAGGTACGGCCATGGACCATCCATTTCTAAAGGCATTTCAAGCATCATCTACTTCTCCAGAAACACTAACAGATGGTAATGAAATTAAATTGAGAAATATGTTTGGATGTAGAAAATAAGAATTCAGATAGAATCATTGGTAAGCTCTCTTTGCCCCCAGTATCCACAATTTGATTATCATTTTATTTTATAATAGCCAGGCAGTGAGAAAAAGCAAGAAACTTTATTTTTTATTGAGGAAAATTGCTAAATCTGAGAATTAGGAGGATTCTGATAATACAATAATTTGAAGTTTTAAAACCTTATTCCGGTAAATTATTGCTTTGATGTCTGAGTAAGAGAGCCCTCTGATGGACCAATTGCCTTGATCCTTTAGGTTGACAGAGTGTGGTTATACTCTGTGGTGATTATCGGGAATTACATGATTCTTGTGTTGCTGGTTGAGGGTACATTCATGTGTTTTAAAAACGAGAACAGGTGTTCAGATTGATACTCTATTTTGGATGTGAAGGGATCCAACCAAGACATTCACCTGAAATGAAGGTGAACTTTTACATGGAACTGGGCTCTTGGTGTACCTATAAAGAAAACCAGATTTTCCTTCGGAGGCAATTAAAAGTTTCTTTCAGCACATACACTAGTGCTCTTATATGAAATAGCTAATATTGTGCTATTTAATATGAACCCATTGAATATTTGCAGAATGTTTGTCAGTGAAAGTTACTTTTGTGTTATGATGCTCTGTTTTCTAAAAAGGAATTAAGTAGTAGGAGCAATTCTCCATTTAGGCCATTTCTGGTTTGAAAAATAAAAAAATCATCAGTTGGAGGAAAGTTGTCCCTGTTTTTATTTCAGGAAAATTTATAATTATGGAAATATATTACTTAGAATTGTTTATTTTCTTATTAGTAGGTACAAGTAGTCAAGTTTCTTCCTTAAGGAGACCTGAGGATGATGATATGGCTTTCTTTGAAAGACGATACCAGGAAAGGGTAAGTCTGTGGAGAAATCTGCTTACGTTAAGCATTTACTTGTAACAGAGACACCATAGAACAATTAAATATTGATTGTGGATTGTCCTGAAAAATAATTTATGAAGTCTTTACTTATAGGTGGTGTTAGGCCATGGGGCTTATTTAGAACAATTCAGAGAGAAACAGGATTGATGAGTAATATGATAATACACTGGTTACTTTATGGAGCTCATTAAGATTGACTAAATATACAAATAAAATTGTCAGTAATAACAATCTACCATCAGCAGATTTGTAAATTATATGTGTCTTGAATTCATAATATGTGGTAGTTCTTCTTCTTTTTTTGTTTTTTTGTTTCCTTTTTGTTTATTCATCTTTATTAGATTCCACATATAAGTCAAATCATATGGTATTTGTCTTTCTCTGTCTGACTTATTTCCTTTAGAATAATACCCTCTAGTTCCATCGATGTTGTTACAAATGGCAAGATTTCACTTTTTATGGCTAAGCAATATTCCATTGTTTATATGTACCACATTTTCTTTATCCATTCACCAATCAATAGACACTTTGGTTGCTTCCATGTCTTCCTGCTGCAGTTTGACAATCTGTTTGAGGCAGCTCTGCCTCTGTATCTATTATTGTTCAAAAGTTTATAATGGTCTCTATTATCCATGAATGAGTGAGATCATGTGGTATTTTTCCTTCATTGACTGGCTTATTTCACTTAGCATAATGCTCTCCAGTTCCATCCATGACGTTGCAAATGGTAAGAGTTCCTTCCTTTTTAGAGCAGCATAGTATTCCATCGTGTAGATGTACCACAGTTTTCTGATCCATTCATCTACTGATGGGCACTTAGGCTGTTTCCAGATCTTAGCTATGGTGAATTGTGCTGCTATGAACATAGGGGTGCATATATCCTTTCTGATTGGTGTTTCTGGTTTCTTGGGATATATTCCTAGAAGTGGGATCACAGGGTCAAATGGGAGTTCCATTTTCAGTTTTTTAAGGAAACTCCATACTGTCTTCCATAGTGGCTGCACCAGTCTGCATTCCCACCAGCAGTGCACAAGTGTTCCTTTTTCTCCACATCCTCTCCAGCACTTGTCGTTTGTTGATTTGTTGATGATAGCCAGTCTGACAGGTGTGAGATGGTACCTCATTGTTGTTTTGATTTGCATCTCTCGGATGATTAGTGACTTTGAGCATGTTTTCATATGTTTCTTGGCTTTGAATGTCCTCTTTTGAAAGGTGTCTATTTAGGTCCTTTGCCCATTTTTTGATTGGATTGTTTATCTTCCTTTTGTTAAGTTGTATGAGTTCCCTATAAATTTTGGAGATTAGGCCCTTATCAGATATGACATTGGCAAATATGTTTTCCCACACAGTGGGTTTTCTCGTTGTTTTGTTGATGGTTTCTTTTGCTGTGCAGAAGCTTTTTATTTTGATGTAGTCCCATTTGTTCATTTTCTCTTTCGTTTCAAGTGCCCTAGGAGCTGTATCAGTGAAGAAATTGCTTCGGCATATGTCTGAGATTTTGTTGCCTTTGGATTCTTCTAGAATTTTTATGGTTTCCTGTCGTACATTTAAGTCCTTTATCCATTTTGAGTTTATTTTTGTGTATGGTGTAAGTTGGTGGTCTAGTTTCATTTTCTTGCATATATCTGTCCAATTTTCCCAACACCATTTATTGAAGAGACTATCCTGGCTCCATTGTATGTTCTTGCCTCCTTTGTCAAATATTAATTGAGCATATTGGTTCGGGCCGATTTCTGGGTTCTCTATTCTATTCCATTGATCTATATGCCTATTCTTGTGCCAGTACCAGGCAGTTTTGAGAACAGTGGCTTTGTAATACATCTTGATATCTGGTATTGAGATCCCACCTACTTTGGTCTTTTTCAGGATTGCTGCAGCTATTCGGGGTCTTTTTTTATTCCAGATGAATTTTTGGAGAGTTCGTTCTAGATCTCTGAAGTATGCCGTTGGTATTTTAATGGGAAGTGCGTTGAATTTATAGATTGCTTTGGGTAGTATGAACATTTTAATGATGTTGATTCTACCAATCCATGAACACGGTATGTTCTTCCATCTGTTTATGTCTTCCTCTATATCTTTTTTCAACGTCCTGTAGTTTTCTGAGTAGAGGTCTTTTACCTCTTTAGTTAAGTTTATTCCTAGGTAGCTTAATTTTTTTGGTGCGATGGTAAACGGGATTGTTTTTATAATCTCTCTTTCTGAAAGTTCACTATTGGTGTATAGAAATGCCTCGGATTTCTTGGGGTTAATTTTGTATCCTGCTACATTGCCAAATTCATGTATTAAGTCCAGTAGCTTTTTGATGGAGTCTCTAGGGTTTTGTATGTATAATATCATGTCGTCTGCAAATAAGGACAGTTTTACTTCCTCTTTTCCAATTTGGATGCCTTTTATTTCTTCTTCTTGCCGAATTGCAATGGCTAACACTTCCAGTACTATGTTGAACAGGAGTGGTGAGAGGGGGCATCCCTGTCTTGTTCCTGTTCTTAGGGGAAATGGTGTTAGTTTTTGTCCATTGAGTATGATGTTGGCTGTGGGCCTGTCATATATGGCTTTTATTATGTTGAGGTATGATCCTTCTACTCCCACCTTGCTGAGAGCTTTTATCAAAAATGGGTGTTGAATTTTGTCAAATGCTTTTTCTGCATCAATTGATATGACCATGTGGTTTTTTTCTTTCAATTTGTTTATGTGATGTATCACGTTTATTGATTTGCGGATATTGTACCATCCTTGCATCCCTGGGATAAATCCTACTTGGTCATGGTGTATGATCTTTCTGATGTACTGCTGGATCCGATTTGCTAAGATTTTGTTGAGGATTTTGGCATCTATGTTCATGAGGGATATTGGCCTGTAATTCTCTTTCATTGTGTTGTCTTTACCTGGTTTTGGAATTAGGGTGATGCTGGCTTCATAGAATGAGCTTGGAAGTGTTCCTTCCTCTTGAATTTTTTGTAGTAGTCTGAGGAGGATAGGTTTTAGTTCTTCCTTGAATGTTTGGTAAAACTCTCCTGTGAAGCCGTCTGGTCCTGGGCTTTTGTTTGCTGGAAGCTTTTTGATGACTGCTTCAATTTCTTCCATAGTTATTGGCCTGTTGAGATTTTTAGATTCTTCCTGATTGAGTTTTGGAATGTTGTATTTTTCTAGGAATTTGTCCATTTCCTCCAGGTTGTCTAGTTTGTTGGAGTAGAGCTGTCCATAGTATTTTTTAACAATCATTTGTATTTCTGTGGGGTCTGTTGTTATTTCGCCTCTATCGTTTCTGATTTTGTTTATTTGGGTCCTCTCTCTTTGCTTCTTGGTGAGTCTGGCTAGAGGTTTGTCAATCTTGTTTATCCTTTCAAAGAACCAGCTCTTGGTTTCATTGATTTTCTGTATTGTTTTTTTGGTCTCTATGTCATTTATTTCTGCTCTGATCTTTATTATCTCATTCCTTCTGCTCACTCTGGGGTTTTCTTGTTGCTCTCTTTCTAATTCTTTGAGTTGTAGAGTTAGATGATTTACTACCATTTTTTCTTGTTTTTTGAGATAGGCCTGTAGAGCTATAAACTTCCCTCTCAGGACTGCTTTCATTGTGTCCCATAGGTTTTGGATTGTTGTGTTTTCATTGTCATTAGTTTCCAGGATGTTTCGAATTTCTTCTTTGATTTCATTGGTAACCCAATCAATATTTAATAGCATGCTATTCAGCTTCCAGGTGTTTGAGTATTTTGGGTTGTTTTTATTGTAGTTTATTTCTAATATTATGCCATCGTGGTCTGCGAAGACGCTTTTTATGATTTCAATTTTCTTGAATTTGGGGATACTTTGCTTGTGACCCAATATATGGTCTATTTTTGAATATGTCCTATGAGCATTTGAGTAGAATGTATATTCCCTGGCTTTCGGGTGAAGTGTTCTGAAGATGTCTATTAAGTCCATCTGATCTAGTGAGTCATTTAGGATTGCTGTATCTTTGCTGATTATTTGTCTAAAGGACTTACCCAGTGCTGTCAGTGGTGTATTAAAGTCCCCTACTATGATTGTATTGTTGTCGATCTCTCCTTTGATATCTTCCAGGAGTTTTTTTTATGAATTTGGGTGCTCCTGCATTGGGTGCATATATGTTTACCAGGGTTATATCTTCTTGTTGTATTGATCCCTTTAGTATTATGAAGTGGCCTTCCTTATCTCTTGTTATGGCCTTCACTTTGAGGTCTATTTTGTCCGATATAAGTATTGCTACCCCAGCTTTCTTTCCCTTTCCATTTGCCTGAAAGATATTTTTCCAACCTTTCACTTTCAGTCTGTGTGAGTCCCTTCTAATGAGGTGGGTTTTTTGTAGACAGCAGATGTATGGGTCATGTTTTTTTATCCATTCAGCCACTCGATGTCTTTTGTTTGGAGCATTTAGTCCGTTTACGTTTAAAGTTATTATTGAAAGGTACTTGTTTGTAGGCATTTCTGTTTTTGTGTGGCTGTTTTCTTTCTGAGCTTTTTATTTCTTATTTTTATACCAGTCCCTTTAGCATTCCTTGCATTGCTGGCTTGGTGGTGATAAACTCCCTTAGCCTTTTTTTGTCTGTGAAGCTTCTTATTTCCCCTTCAATTTTGAATGATAGCCTTGCTGGATAGAGTATTCTTGGATTCAGTCCTTTGCTTTGCATCACTTTGTAAATTTCCGTCCATTCTTTTCTGGCCTGATGTGTTTCTGTTGAGAAATCATTTGACAATCTAATGGGAGATCCCTTGTATGTAACTTTCCGTCTCTCTCTTGCAGCCTGTAAGATTCTCTCTTTGTCCTGAACATTTGCCATGGTAATTATGATGTGTCTTGGTGTGGGTCTTTTTGGGTTCACCTTGTTTGGGACTCTCTGGGCTTGTGTGACTTTTTTCTTCCCCACCTCAGGGCAGTTTTCTGATATTATTTCTTCTAATAGGTTTTCTAATCCTTGTTCATCCTTCTGTTGTTCTGGTACCCCTATTATTCG